GGGGGGGGAAGGGGGGGGGGGGGCGAGTAGCGTAGACAGGTTTGGACGCCAGGAAAAGCAAAAATTCTATTAAAAAAAAAAAAAAACAATTAAAAAGAACCAGAAAAAAAACCCGGCACAGAAGACTAATAAGTTCAATTCAAAGAATCGATTATGACGGCATGGGTTTATTTTTATATTGGAAACACCTTAATACATCCAACATATTGTGAAACACCTTAACACATTCAACTTATTCGAAACACCTTAATACATCCAACATATAGGAAACACCTTAATGCATCTTACATATAGGAGACACCTTAATGCATCTTACATATTGGAAACACCTTAATGCATTCAACATGTTGGAAACACCTTAATACATTCAACATACTGAAAACACCTTAATACATTCAACATACTGGAAACACCTTAATGTATTCAACATATTGGAAACACATTAATAAAGCCAACATATTGGAAACACCTTAATGCATTCAACATACTGGAAACACCTTAATACATCAAACATATAGGAAACACATTAATACACTCAACATATTGAAAACACATTAATAAATCCAACGTATTGGAAACACCCTTATACATTCAACATATTGGAAACACCTTAATACATTCAACATATTGGAAAGACCTTAATACATCCAACATATTGGAAACACATTACACATATTGGAAACACTTTAGCTTTCTACATATTTGAAACAATACATATTTATACATATTCAGTAATTTTTATTAAAATAAAGGGTTGCCAAGACTTTCACTTGGACTAATGTGCATGTGTGTGTGTGGGGGAGGAGGGGGGCGGGGGGGTGAGTGTGTGGGTGTGGGGTGGGGGGGAGTAGAAATTGTGGGACCAATCAGTAAGGCTGTTATAATTGTTTAATTTTTTTCAAATTTCTACATTAAAAATTTCGTGTCATTCTGCCACTGCCACTGCTACCATCGCACGACTCCCGGGTATAAGTCACACGTTGTCTCAACTTTATTATTTTTTTTTTTATCCCCCCCCCCCTTTTTTTTTTCCTACTTCCCTGGCATGCCCTCGTGACCTTTTTTAGCCGGGTCACGTCTTGACTCCTGTCATAGCCAGATGTTTCATTAAACGTCATGTGCAGCTTCAAGCAGCCAAACTGGCCAATCAAGATTAGAATGGGACGTGCGGGCGTCAGACGTTTTTTTTTGTTTTTTTTTGTTCAATAATCCTCGATTGTCCGGAAACTGCGGGTGGGAGGTCAATCAAATCAAGTCATCAAGAACATTTAAGCGGAATCCCAATCACTTATATTTAATAAAAAAAATCAGAGCATGCACTGTGTCCAGTGAGTCGTAAGATCGAAGGTTGTGTCCTCACCCAATGACGTCATGGGGCCCCCAGGCTTATTGACTTTACCCGGGGCACTAATCATGATTGGCTAATCCACTGATCCCCGATGTAGCGATTGCTAATTATTGTTTCACCAACTTAGTTCTCCTCCCCACGCTTTGCCGATTTTCCCCCTCCTTTCCATTTTACCTTAATCATTGACGTCAATCATGGGAAAATGATTTATGACGTCGATAAAACTACAATGATGCATGACGTCAATCAAAGTACAATGATACGGGACGTCGATCGTGAAACAATGAGGAATGACTTCAATTATAGCACAATGGTACATGACGTCAATTAAAGCACAACGTACATGACGTCGATAAAAGTAAAATGATACACGAAGTCCATCAAAGAACAATGATGCATGACGTCTATCAAAGCCCAATTTACATGACTTAAATCATTCACAAGTATGCATGACGCCAGTTTAAGTACAATGTACGACGTCAATCAAAGCACATTATATACACGATGTCAATCAAATCACAATGATGCATGACGTCAGTCAAATCACAATGATGCAGGACGTCAATCAAAGCGCAATGATGAATGACGTCAATCAAAGCACAACGATACATGACGTCAATGAAAGCATAATGATGCATGACGTCAATCAAAACACATTGATGCAGGACGCAACTCAAAGCACAATGATGCACGATGTCAATCAAAGCACAATATATACAAGACGTCAATCAAATCACAATGATGCATGACGTCAATCAAAGCCCAGTGAAGCACGACGTAAATCAAAGCACACCGATACATGACGTCTATAAAAGCACAACTATGCATATCATAAGTTGACCGTGATGGATCTTGAAAAAGCAAACGGAATCACGCTTTAAAAAACAAAAAAAAAAGAAAAATTCGTACACAAACATTTACAAAAATATCCGGTTTATAATATTTTATATATGTGTCATTGAATTTTTCTTGTTTTTTTTTTTCATATATTTTGTGTAATAAATAAGGCTGAGGTCACGTGCCAAACAACAGCCACTCAGCGTCAAAGAAAACAAAAACGCTCTGGTTCCGACTCCAGCTCGTAATCTGCTACGCCCCTGCAAGGTACCATTTTGGGAAATTGGAAAGTCCAGGAAATAACGACCAAGCACAAGACACAGGCCATGATTAATCGAGTCTGTTCCAAATCATGTCGGGTGTGATCGGTTACTTTGTGCAGCATACTGACAAGCCTGCTTCATTTTTACGGGAGATTTAACCCCCCCCCCCCACCAAACCGCTACAAGCAAGAGGAGACAAAATGCGATGTACGGATAAACTAAGGAATGGATTGTATTTAACAGGTGTCCGCGTGGGACATTATAACTGAATGGAAGAAATAAGATGACAAAGAATAGTCTCATTAACTAGCCCCCCCCCCCGGTCCCATTGCTCCTTCTGACCCACCATTTTGTTTCCTTAAATACTTTCCCCCATGTTCTGATCAGGGATTCTGTTGGACAGTCCAACTCAAACCTACTACCACCAGGGGCGTCATGTCAGGGTTTTATTTTAGGTTGGGGGGGGGAACAAAACTTGGTCGGCTTGTTAAGTTGTTTATAACTGCCTGTGCCAGAGAACATAGCAGTTGAAATAAAACCTGCAAATTCGTGAGGGGGGGGCGCAAAGCCCCAGCCTGCCCCAACCAAATGACGTCCCTGACCACAACTGCCTTAAAGACTGAGCCAGATTTATTTATAATGGTATTATGGGGAAGGGCTGGGTTCAGGTTGAAGCATTATGAAATATAACCCCCAGGGTCAAAGCCTGAAATATAACCCCCGGGGTCAAAGCCTGAAATATAACCCTCGGGGTCAAAGCCTGAAATATAATCCCCGGGGTCAAAGCCTGAAATATAATCCCCGGGGTCAAAGCCTGAAATATAATCCCCGGGGGGTCAAAGCTTGAAATATAACCCTCGGGGTCAAAGCCTGAAATATAACCACAGGAAATCATAACGCAATCTCTGAGCCTGTGGTTCTGTTGTGATTTGNTTGTGTAGGGACTGTTTTTGGTGGCGGATGTTAGGTTTGCACTGGGCGGGTAAATGGTTGAAAGAGGGGGGGGGGGGAAACGTAGTAAAAAAACAGTGATTTCCTTTGAGCTTTTTCTTGCAATCAGCGGTTTGGTGTGTTCATGTTGGCGGTGTAATGCACTGGTGATCTGTTGATGGTAAGCCCAGTTCTTTGGATTATTGTTTAACTAACAGCGTGTCGGATTTAAGAATAGGACATTTTTTTTATTGATTGGATTAATTGGATTCTTCTGGAGCCATTCCAATGGAGACATTCTAATGGATTCATTCTTATAACTTATGGAGTCATTCGTATGGAGTCATTCTCGTGGAGTAATTCGAAGACACCAATACACAGTATTTAGGTAAGTAGTTTGGTGGTTGGTCAGTCTAGAAAATACAAAAAGGGGATCCCATAGGGGGCATGGGCGATGCCGGTGGGGGGGGGGACAAAAGAAGGAACGACGGCTGAGGCAAATTGATTGTATCCTTGTAACTAATGAGATAAAATTCATTTTTTGTTGTTGTTGTTCCAAATAAATGGAAATCTGTGTTGAGCACATCTTCAATTCAATGTTGATAATCGGTGTACATATTCTGTGTACATATTCTACGTACATATTCTGTGTACATATTCTGTGTTCATATTCTGTGTTCATATTCTGTGTACAAAATCTTGTGTACATATTCTGTGTACATATTCTGGGTTCATATAATGTGTACATATTCTGTGTACATATTCAATTTCAGAATATTGATCAAAATAGATTAAGATTACACATTTTTAAAACTATACAAAAAAAAAAAAAAAAAAAAAAAAAAAAAAAAAAAAAAAAAAATGTGTGCAGTGGCGTAGCTAGGGTAATTGCGGCTCGGGGTGGGGGCAATATTTTTTTTACCGCCCACTTCCGTGAAAAATAGTCTACGGTTATCCGAAAATACCACCCCTTCATACAAAAAAAAATACGCCCGGGGCTGACCACCCTCTCCGCACTCCGCCCCTTTCTTACGCCACTTAATTGCTGTGGGTTTTGAAATTATAGATCATCTCCTGATTCCTATGCGTTTTATCAACATCAGGAACATATACATCCCATGCACCCCCACCCCCCCCCCTTGAAAATACACTTCCTATACACCCCCCCCCCCCCACCCTTTCTTACGCCACTTAATTGCTGTGGGTTTTGAAATTATAGATCATCTCCTGATTCCTATGCGTTTTATCAACATCAGGAACATATACATCCCATGCCCCCCCCCCCCCCCCCCTTGAAAATACACTTCCTATACACCCCCCCCCTCCCTTACCAACCGAGTATCCACTCATTCTGACAGGAGCAGTTTATTGCAGGAGACGGACAACACCACTTCTACTTTTTGTTTCAATTAAAACTTCGTTTCCGAAACATAAATCAGAGTCACGAATTAAACCAGGGGTCCTCAGCCCGGGGAGGCTCGTGTGAACACGGAAAAGGGGGGGGGGGTTGGTTGGTTCGAGGTGGCATTTTTGGGGAGTGTGAGGAAAAGGGATTATAAGAACAGATGAAGAGAGAAAGCGAGAGGAGGAGAGAACGATGGAGAGAGAGAAATGAGAGAGAGAGAGAGAGAGAGATAAAACGACTGAGAGAGAAAGAGAGAGAAAGAGAGAGATAGAAAACGAGAGAATAAGAGAGGACAGAGAAATAGAGACTGGGAGAGAAAGATAAAGAAAGAAAGATAGATCAATCGATCGATCGATAGAAAGAGAAATAGAGAGAGAGAGATAGATAGAGAGAGAGTGATAGATAGTTAGATAGAGAGAGAGAGAGAGAGAGAGAGAGAGAGGAGGGAGAGATGTAAATAATTATGCATGATGTTAACTTGTCTTTTAAGTTAACAGTTTTCCTATTTCTATAATGAAGCGTTTACATTTCTAATCCACGAATAAGGGTTAAGCATTGAATAAAATTAATTAGTTACATTAGAATTTTTTCCCCATAAGGCAATTTATTTTTTTCTTCAAAAATTTGATCCAAACATCCTAAAACGTGATGAGACACCTTGAAACCACATGGCATGAGCGTCATGTCTTTATTGACAGCTTGAGCCTAGCCCCGCCCCTCCACGTCACGACCAATCGCAGCGGATTAACTTCTCCTCTTTTCTTTTCCTCTTCCCTATTTAATCTCTAACCTACTTATTTTATGTCGCAATTCTTTTCCTGCCCTCTCGGATTCTACTTCTCAGCTAAAGGCTATTTTTTTTCTTCAAATTTATTGTTTTTTTCTTCTGTTGTTTGTTCGCTGACGAAGGCTTCCTGCCGACACGTCCGTTGCTTTGTTGTGTTCTTTTTTCAGGTTGGACCTTACTTTGTTTTACTCATTTCCTATTGATGAGATACAGTTATTTAGTCCCACCGACCTCACAGAGAGATAGGGCTGACTCAGTATGTGTTGATTTGGTGGCGGTCAGGGTCAAGGGTCAAGTTCAACTCGGGGAAGATTTTAAAATATCTCTTTATCGGGAAATTAAATAGAAAAAAAACCACAGTGGGTTAAAGACATCCAGTGATAATTTAAATCACAGCAACAGAGTGATAGAGAGGGGGCGATAGAGACAGATTGAGAATGAGAGAAAGAGATAGAGATAAAGAGAGATGGGGAGAGAGAGAGAGAGCACGATAGAGAGACAGAGAGCACGATAGAGAGACAGAGAGAGAGAATGAGAAAAAAGAGATAGAGAGATGAAGAGAAAGCGAGAAAGAGAGAGAGATAAAAAGAGAGAGAGAGAGTTTTGTTCAACTGCGCACATATTTGTAAAGTACAGTGAGTAGGCGCGGCTTTTCGCTTTGTTAAAAAAATAATAATATTGTTTCGGGTGTGTGCGCTGTCCACCATTGATTTTTAAATGGTAAAAACCTGCTCACGATGACACACATACCGCCACCTGGTGGTGTGATGGACGCGATGTACAATCTCCTGTCTACATGTACACGCCGTACACAGTCGTGAAGCACAAAAACAACGGAACTCACGTATAGTTTAATTAAGGCAGATGTAGTATAAAGGGAGTGCGTACTTAATTTATGTATGGTTGGCATCCCCTCGGAGGCGTAGCGAGGGAGTTAGGCGCCCGGGGACAAGATTCGCGCCCGGGGACAAGATCCATGTTAAAGCGCCCCTTCTTCTTTTTTTCAACTCTCAAACCCATTATTTTTACCAATAATATAATATCAAAGCACATTTTGGCGCCTCTAACTAGCTTGCACCCAGGGACATCTGCCCCCCTCCACCCCCTCGCTACGCATCTGCATCCCCTTCTACTCCTCCAACCATCCGGTCATTTTGTCTTTTGACCCCTTTCGCCTCCTTATATATATATATATATATATATATATATATATATATTTTTTTCCTCTTCTCTCTCTCATATATATATATATATATATATATATATATATATATATATATATATATATACATATATAATATATATACATATATATACATGAAAATATACATCAAAGTAACCCACCTAACATTCTTTACAATGTAGAATTTGTTCCTCTTTTAAAAAAAAATAAATAAATAATACTTTTTTTTTTACAAATCTTGAATGACTGAAACTATTATTCCTCTGCCGAACGGAAATCTCTCTGCAAATCAGTTACGTGGTCAGTCTAATCGAGCGTCCATATTAGGGAGATGAAAAGTGCTACTGAGACTGTTTAATTTTTTTTTAAAAGAACTTCAGCGTACCGCAAAGTAGAGACGTTATCTAAAAAAAGTATGTGAACGCGATATTTTAAATGAATACATAATAATATGTATATGAATTAGTTATTGCTCGCCAAACACTGGCGGCGTCAATGCGTGAACTTCCCATCTACTAAAGTTACTTGACAAAACATGAACTCAAGTAACGCACATTTAAGAATCCCAATATTTGCTACACCCCTTCCCCCCCCCCCATGCTACGTCACTGCACACTTTTTATTTCACGCACATGAACTGTATTAAATATTCTGATGTCCCAACCGCTTTTAAACCTAATATTTTTTTACACCATGCTTCGATTGAGACGACTTCATTTTCCGAAAATAAAATATTACGCGCCAAACGCACTTGTGTTATGTAAAAAAATAAATCATTTAGCGTAGTTATCGGGAATTATATTTTGCACGCTTTTGAAACCACTATTGAACCATACGTTTAGAATTATTTGTAAGATACTCTCAATACCAAATTCGCTGATCAGGAAGCAGTCCATACGGAAGCAGTCCACGAGACACACCAGAAGCGTAAAATATTTAAGAGATAAGAGATGTATATATCCCCCCCCCCACACACTTTTTTCTCCCACCTAAATAGTATGTAACAAAATTAGCCTCGTCTTTGAACTAAACGCACTAAAAACTGTCTTTAGAAGGGTCATGACCATGAGGCATCAGGGACTTCAAGCGGGGAAAAGTCCAGAACAGATGATTCGGTCCACCAGATTTAAGTGGGGTCTTCAAAAACGGAATGTTTTTTTTTTTTCATGAGTTGAGAACCGGACCAGAAAAAAAAAAGAGATTGGAGATGGATATCGGTGACGTTTACTAGCTGACCCCCTTAGCACCCCAACCAGGCTACTCACCGCAGAAACGTTGAACGAGTAATCGAGACTTTGAACATGATACCTTTGCTAACACCGGCAGGGAATAATATTATAACAATTCAAAAATTTAGATGTTATTTGTGTAAAGTTAAGTATATATATATATATATATATATATATATATATATATATATATATATATATATATATATATATATATATATATAATAGAACGACCAAAATGTCGGCTTCGGTTTCGGCGCCGACAGTTGCCGTTTGATCACTTTCGGCCTCGGCCGAAACAGAAAAGTTAAGTTTCGGTTTATTTTCGGTTTTGTCCTCAGGTGATTGAGGCCTTCAGTCTTCTACCAGTTCTCTAATGGTTACCCGTCCGTCGGCCGGCAATCCGATTTTCATTGTTGCTCGACGTCTTCCTCTCATCGTATAGTACATAACACATCCTCTGCCAACACGGCTGCGTGTTGACTCACGTGTCCAATATTTCCACAAACAAACAAAAAATGAAATTTCAATAAAGCAAAGGGAAAAGTAAATAGTTTTGTGGGGAAGACAAAAACAACCACTAAGGGGATGGTAATATTTTAAAAAGGGGCTAACATTCGAGAGCAAATGGAAAATTGACTATTTCAAAGTTAATCCAGATCCGATATGGATGATAAACAAGGGGTTTGTTGGGCTAAACAACAAAAAGTAGTTAAGACATTTACAGCTGACCGATGGTTGAAGTGACACTACAAAAAAAAAGTGTGGGGGTGTGTGAGGTTCAATTTCTTCGGCCAATTGTACGAGACACTTAAGACAAATAAATATTGCCATAAAAGTTGCCCCGTCACCTTTCGCGGCGCGCAGAACGTCTTTGAAAACGAGTTTTGAAATCTTTAAATATTTCGGTTTTGGCCGAAAGACTCGTTAAGCTGCTGGTTCCAGCTGCGGCTTTAGTTTCGGCTGAAAATCAATGGTTTTGGCCTGGTTTCGGTTTCGGCCAAAATCAGAAAAATTACTTTCGGTGGGTCCCCAATATATATATTGGTGTAAGTTTAACAAAAACCTAATCCCCACAAATAGCTACTGTGAACCTAGTTTTGTTTAAGAAATATATCTTTATGTAAAGTTACGGTAAACATATTTTTTTGTTGACAAGCCCATATCTGGTGTGTATCCGTTAGGTGGCGGCCCTGAAGCGCTACGGCTCCTACCCATGTTAACCTGGCGATTGAAACCAATTTATTATCCCAATAACTCACGGTGTATGCAGCTGATAAGAGATTCTCATTTTTCTTTTTAAAGAAACGACGCGTGTTGGGTGGTGGTTTGGGGGGGGGGGGGGGGGGGGACTTTTAAGTAGATTGTCATTGTTTCTCCCATCTCTGGTGTTGCGATATAGGACTTGGGGTGCGTTTCCACACTCCTACTAGGATCTCACCCTCCAACTGGGGTCCCATGCTCCTACTACACCTACCCTCCTTGTACACCCACCCTCCTATTTGTGTCCTCCCCTCCTACTTGTGTCTCACCCTCATTTTCGTGCTCCACCTTCCTACTAGTGTCCCACTCTCCTACTAGATCCCACCCTCCTACTAGGGTCTCACCCACCTACTAAATCCCACCTTCCTACTAGGTCTCACCCACCTACTAGGGTCTCACCTCCTACTAGATTCCACCCGCCACTGGCAGGCATCCCGCCTTTCTACTGGGCTCTAATCTCCCACTGAGGCTCCACCCTCCCACTCGGGTCTCACCTCCTACTTGGGTCACATCCTCCTATTGGGGTCCCACCCTCCTACTACACCCACCCTCCCACTCGGGTCTCACTCTCCTACTTGGATCACATCCTTCTATTGGGGTCCCACCCTCCTACTACACCCACCCACCTACTAGGGTCTCACCCTCCTACTTGGGGTCACATCCTCCTGCTACACGCCATCTCTTTTATTCAAATTGTACGTTTACATTAACATAAATCTTGTTAGTCATGTGATCAGACAGCTAACGCAGTGTTCATTTCAAGCCAGTTTTTTTTAAAACGAAATCTGATAACGCTATAATATTTTGAAACGGACCACGTCACATGTATGTACCTGTACTTGACTTGATGCCAAGTTGAAATAACTCCTCATTATCTTACGTCAAGAGTCACATTTACCCAGAGGCATAGCTAGAGTTTTTCGACGCCAGGGAACAAGATTCATTTTTAAGAGCCCCCCCCCCCCCTTTTCTTTTTTTTCAACTCTCAAACCCACTATTTTCATCAATACAATAATATCAATTCAAATTTTTGCGCCCTCCAGCTTGCCTGGCACCCAGGGACATCTGTCCCCCCTGCTCCCCTCCCCTAGCTACTCCTCTGCATTTACCCTGTGCTTGCTGACCCTTTCTTGTTCCTGTTTCCTTCAGTCGTACCTGTTATTCTACTGGTGAAAACATCACGAGTGCTCTTTGATTGTATCTCGCCTTCCCGTTGCGGTCCGTCCCCCACAACTGTCAGTTTCGTATCGCAACCTCCGCGCTCTTTTAGAGTTGAGAATCGGCCCTGCAGTTCAAGACACCGCGGAGAGATCTCCTTTTGCTCTTTGGGGGATTCCTTGCAGTACGGCGCTTAGCACTGAAACCCGAGCGCTTCTTTTGTAGTAGTGGCCCAAGGAATGTCAACAAAAAATGCCTCGGGATCAGTGGTTCTAAGAAAGGTGCCTTCCCATAGGACATCGAAGGAGCTGTGGAATTCAGTACAATGTCATATTGGTAGAAACGACCTCAACCTGCTGGTGGGAAATCTTACATGTTCTCCTTTTTTTTTTGTTTGTTTCTTTGTTTGTTTATTGTTTGTTTGTTTATTGTTTGTTTTGGGTAAGGTGTTGCGGCGAGGACTTGACATTATTTAAACGGATCAGATTGTGTCATTCTTTTCTTTCCTTTTTTGTTGTTGTTGATGTTGTTGTAAATAAGGGAGTCGTGTGAGTATCTCACGCGAACTCGTTAATGTATAAGGCGAGGTACTTAGATTAAAGAATTGAGACCCACCACACGTTTTGGTTATGTCCCCGCAGGTTTGTTTCACTTTGAATTTGAACAGTGCACAGGGCCAGGCATGTGTGTGACGTATCGAGTTCCGTGGCATTATTGCTGAGTAAATATTGTTCAGAAGTTTATAGTTCCTGGTTGTGAGTCTGCCCGCGGCAATGTTGTGGTTGGTTTTTGTTTTTTGTGTGGTGTTTTTGTGATTCTTTTATTAGGGGGCTGGTACGCTGGTACAAACACGTCTTTTTGACTTGGTACAAGGACGTGTATAGTTATAACTATCCTCGGAGTTTATGCGATTAACTGTATAAGAATCAATACAAAACAGTTTTTTTTTAAAATTATTAAATTATGTTAGACATGAAGCACTTGATTAAAAAAATAAACAACACTAAAATTCATACGATAAGCCGAGGACCATTTGGCATGTCCCTAATGCCCGTGACATTCTGTTCACGTGACCTCCTGTGCCCGTGACCTTCTGTTCACGTGACCTCCCGCTCGGAGTGTTGGAGCCAATTCTACTTGCATGGAGTCGGATTCAGTAAAATGCCCACAGATTCAAAGAATTACCGAAACCTTTCTCTGAAAGCATCGCATGGTTTCATTCTAACTGGCTTTAAACACTATAAAATAAATAAGGATTTCCCCCTTCACGGTAGTATTCTTTAAAAAAAAATTTTTTTCCCCCGGATGATTGTAATGCATGACGGGCAACATCTAGTAGTTGTTGGTGTATTGTTGTGAAGGCTTTGTTGGCAATTCGGCAGGTTTGTTGCTGTTTCAAGTAGTGTTAGTTTTAGCCTTTGTGATGAGCTCAATTTCAGTCAATTTTTCAGTTAAGCTTTAGTAATAATTATACATAATGCACAAGTAAACGTTTCGGCAGATGCCTTCATCAGTACAAACAGCATTAGGGACATGCTCGTTAGAAGCCACCTCCCTGCTATTACAGCACACAAAGACACCAAAAGTTGCAATCGTAGCCGTTGTAACACATGTCCCTACGTGATTGAAGCTGATAAGATCACTTTCCCTCTGGAAATATTCAGAAGAAAAGAGGCCTTTACCTGCACATCATTTGAAAAAAGTGCGGTAAATTATACGTAGAAGAGAAAGGTCGTCGCCTTGGAGAGCGGTTCAGAGAACACCTCAATAACATAAATAAACAAGCTCTCTGTCCGGTCTTCAAACATTTCAATAGCCCTAAACATGATGGTATCTCAGACATCGCAGTTACTGGTATACTATATACTAGTAACACAACAGATAGAATCTATATGGAGAATAAATTAATAACACGATTTGGTACGTTGTCTCCATATGGGATAAACCAAATCCACAATTTTACCTAGCTGCCATGTCTTTTTCCTGTTTGATTTTTACAATTTTGCTCACATCACTTCCTATTTTTTTATATTTTTTATTTTTTTAGGTAGGATATGTATATTTATATTATGTAATTATAATTTATTCTTATTTTTTATTTGTACTGATGAAGGCATGTGTCGAAACATTTACTTGTGTATTATGTATAATTATTATTAAAGCTTAACTTAAATTGTTATAGTGACCCAAATTGTTCGTGTCTTAATAATCTAGAGTGGTTCAAGGACGTTATTGCTCGGACCAATACTGTTATAGTGACCCAAATTGTTCGTGTCTTAATAATCTAGAGTGGTTCAAGGACGTTATTGATCGGACCAATACATTGGGGGGGGGGGGGACAACAACAACGTCTATCTAATACTTGATTGTAGTTTTAAAAAAAATTCTTCCTAAGTTTTGAATTCAACAAAGGATGATGGTATGCTAACAATTTGCAAGCTCCAGACACCCAACCTGGTTGGCTGGCTACCTCTGAGCTTGAGTTGAGAGCTTTTGTGTTACTGGATTCAATCTTCACACGTTCTGAATAAAAATGAGCTTTGAAATCTCTCAATTTTTTATGTAGTCACACGATAGTATTAATAAGTATGCAGCAGGTTTTACCAAACTTTGCAAAGTTTTTTAACACATAAATATGCTATATAAACACCATTTTTTTTTTTTTTTGCTTTAAAAATGACACATTGAGCAGCAGAGCATTATTACTGCCAGGAGCGCCAAATTCTAGTGGCGTTGTTTTGATTTAAAAAAAAAAAATATTTTAAACCCCAAATTCACGGAAAATAAGTTATATTTAAAGTAGGCCTAATGATATTATTTTTGTGTAAAAAATCCCTAGTTTGATTTGTTAAGCGAGCTCCTTCAATAACATTTACACCAGCGGTTCTCAACCTGTGGGTTACAACCCCCTTAGGGGGTCGAACGACCGTTACACAGGGGTCTCCTAAGACCATCGGAAAACACAAATTTATGAAGTGGCAACAAACATAATTTTATGGTGGTTCTGGGGGAAGGGGGGGGGGGTCACCACGACTTGAGGAACTGTATTAAATGGTCACGGCATTACGAAAGTTGAGAACCACTATGACTATTTGTGTTTTCTTATCCCTCATTTAGAAAGTAGGGATTCACTCGACACTTGAAAGCAAAAGAAACAACAACAACAACGATAGAAGTAAAAAAAAAAAAAAAGTCAGAGAAAATATAACTGTTTTCGATCTTTTCACCCCGATCAAAATTATGAAGTCTGATGTATGGACGAGACATTTGATGGATTCGTAGACTCAAGACATGTGACTCAAACTGACGTCACCCAAACCTTTTTTTTTTAGATCAGTGATTTGACAGAGGCACAGCTTCAGTTCAGCGCAGTAAAAAAAAAAAAAAAAAGACTTAATAAAAAAAAAAAACTCGGAGATATCACGGCTACGAGGAGACAATACATGCTTCAAAACATCGGTTGGCGCACAGGGGGCGCCAAAACCATTTCAAGGCGGGAGATCGTATATTTAATAACAGCCAGTTAGCATAAATTATGCCTCACCGTGTTCGAATCGTGCAAGGGCAAGGCAAAATAGCCTCATTTTTCACTTTCTAGGATAGGATAAAATCTCCATCAAGGGTAACTCTTTTGAGTGATACCGTCGTTATTGATACCCGTAGTTAATACTCCCATTCATCGTGGATACTGTATCGGTCAAGCTGATTGTATTTTGACTCTGATGTACACCCGAGGCTTGAATAAACTGGAGTATTCGATTTGACTTAAATTTGATGAGACTCGTGATGATTCTTTCCGCTGCCACCGGACGTAAGGTGTTGGTCTCAAAATACGAGTCCAGATAACTGAACATCCGGATATTTCAATTTGTGCCGTACACAGGCTCCAAATAAAGAACGATCATGAATTTTAATTCGTATGTAAACCTTAATATATATATGTATATATACTCCTACAAAGACAGTCAAGTTATTAATTAAGAAGACGGGTTGTCCATTTTTTTGGCAGTCTTGAAACGGTTCCCAAAGAAGAGTAAAAACCTTCAGCGAGTCCTAGTGACAAATCAATGAGATCGTTGGCCTTTAGCAGCTCTTTGTTTTCAATCGATGGTTTCCGGGTTTTCTGAGGCCAGATTCCAGGGTCTGCGGGCGCTTATTTCACCGGTCACAACAAAATGCGCGTGTGGAGCTGTTGTAACCCATCAAAGGTTTTCTCACTCGGGATCCCTGTAAATCTGGCTTACACTCGTTTAAATAAACTATTTAAAAATCATTACTTCTCTCAGACTGCTGGTCTATTTGTTTCACAAGCAACTCCTAAGCAAATCCTTTCGCAACCCCATTTGAGGTCACCTCCCATGGACTGGAAACCTGAGCTCTAGTAACTTGATTATCCCATGACACATTATAACATGTAGTTGCTTGTTGTTTTTTNCACAACACACAACACACACACACAACACAACACACAACACACACACACACAACACACAACACACACACACAACACACACACACAACACACACACACAACACACAACACACACACGCGCGCAAATGCATACATATATATTATTCTTTAGATGATTTGAACGATACTTTCAATCAGTGGGTCTCCAATGGATGCACAAAGACAAAATAGATAACATTTAGGAAGCGGCATCTCTCAGGTTTGCGTCCCACACTTAAGGAATGAATCCTTGATAATGCTTACAAATGTATGAGCACGTGTTTTTGAATGTTTCTCTGTGTCGACCCCATCATCCCCAGGCCCTCTTATGAAACCTCTGGAATATGGCCATGTGAGAAAATAACAAGTTTTGTTGAACGTGTCTACAGTTTGAGACCATGTGTTTTAAAACACTGCCTACTTTGACTAAGATCCGGTTTTTAAAAACACTGCCTGCTTTGACTAAGACCCGGTGTTTAAAAACACTGCCTACTTTGACTAAGATCCGGTGTTTAAAAACACTGCCTGCTTTGACTAAGACCCGTTGTTTTAAAACACCTCCTGCTTTGACTAAGACCCGTTATTTTAAAACACCTCCTGCTTTGACCAAGACCCGTTGTTTAAAAACACCTCCTGCTTTGACTAAGACCCGTTGTTTTAAAACACCTCCTGCTTTGACTAAGACCCGTTGTTTAAAAACACCGCCTGCTTTGACTAAGACCCGTTGTTTAAAAACACCGCCTGCTTTGACTAAGACCCGTTGTTTTAAAACACCGCCTGCTTTGACTAAGACCCGTTGTTTTAAACACCTCCTGCTTTGACTAAGACCCGTTGTTTTAAAACACCTCCTGCTTTGACTAAGACCTGTTGTTTTTAAACACTGCCTTCTTTGACTAAGACCCGGTGTTTTAAAACACCGCCTGCTTTGACTAAGACCCATTGTTTTAAAACACCTCCTGCTTTGACTAAGACCCGTTGTTTTAAAACACCTCCTGCTTTGACTAAGACCCGTTGTTTTAAAACACCTCCTGCTTTGACTAAGACCCGTTGTTTAAAAACACCGCCTGCTTTGACTAAGACCCATTGTTTTAAAACACCGCCTGCTTTGACTAAGACCCGTTGTTTTAAAACACCTCCTGCTTTGACTAAGACCCGTTGTTTTAAAACACCTCCTGCTTTGACTAAGACCCGTTGTTTTAAAACACTGCCTGCTTAGACTAAGACCCGTTGTTTTAAAACACTGCCTGCTTAGACTAAGACCCGTTGTTTTAAAACACTGCCTGCTTAGACTAAGACCCGTTGTTTTAAAGCACTGCCTGCTTAGACTAAGACCCGTTGTTTTAAAACACCTCCTGCTTTGACTAAGACCCGGGACGCCAAAAAAGACTTCGCGTACAGTTTTACAATACCTTCCGTCGTTACAGTTACCATTCTTACAATTTACGCGAACAATATCAGGCATATGGTGTCCGTAATGGTGGGTTTAGTCACGGTTGAATGCGGAAGACCTTGCAGTGGTCTATTATTTTAAACGGATTATCTTGCGACAGGTGAGGCGTTGCAGTGCGGTAGACTCCAACACGCAGTTCACATGTGGCGCTGTGTGTGCAGGATGTGCATAGAGGAATGAGTGTTTCCAGGTCGCTGTGTACTTTCAGACCCGGTGGTAAATGAGCCCTTACTTATCTGTTAAAGTGTCAGTTCACTCGGTGTCATTTGGTTCGGTGTCATTTGGTTCGGTGTCATTTGGTTCGGTGTCATTTAGCTCATGTCATTTAGAACGATGTCATTTTGTTTTGGTGTCATTTGGTTCGGTGTCATTTTGGTTCGGTGTCATTTGTTCGGTGTTATTTGGTTCGGTGTCATTTGGTTCGGTGTCATTTGGTTCGGTGTCATTTGGTTCAGCGTAATTTAGTTTGATGTCATTAAGTTTGGTGTCATGTTAGTTTGGTGTCATTTGGTTCAGCATGATCTGGTTCGGTGTCATTTTCTTATCTTCACACATAGGCCAGACAGTCTCCATAAACCACACGGCGCGCACTTATCTTCACACGTGGCCAGACAGTCTTCTTAAACCACATGGTGCGCACTTATCTTCACACACGGGCCAGACAGTCTTCTTAAACCACACGGCGCGCACTTATCTTCACACACGGGCCAGACAGTCTTCTTAAACCACATGGTGCGCACTTATCTTCACACATGGGCCAGACAATCTTCTTAAACCACACAGCGCGCACTTATCTTCACACACGGGCCAGACAGTCCCCTTAAACCACATGTGCGCACTTATCTTCACACACGGGCCAGACAGTCCCCTTAAACCAAATGGTGCGCACTTATCTTCACACAATGGCCAGACAGTCTTCTTAATCCACATGGTGCGCACTTATCTTCACACACGGGCCAAAGAGTCTTCGTCCACTTAGACGCGATACGTGATGTCTGCGATTCATGAACATTTATGATATCCAAACTTTTTCTCACCTCCTTGGTAAACTATCTAAATCGTATCATTGAAAGCTGACACAAGCTCATATTAACAGTCAGCACTTTTATAAAAAAATGTATTGATAATAGCCTTAATCAGTGCCAGTGGCGTAGCGAGGCAGGTGCGGGGGGTGCGGACCGCACTGGGTGACACCATTTTAGGGGTGACACCCGATTGAAAAATTGCATATTTACAGGGCACACATTGCTCGCAAAAACCGAGATTCATAAAAGAATAACCGATCACACATATATTTTTCACAAATGTAACCAAAATGCGTGCTTTATTAAAAGTTCAAGGTTGATGCTATACTGTGGACTTATTTTAACAAGAAAAAATCGATCATAGAAGTTGGGGGGGGGGGGTGACACCCATGAGTTTGCCGCACCGGGTGACACCAACCCTAGCTACGCCACTGATGAGTGCCATTATAGGACCTTCCAGCCCGTTTTAGGAACCACTAAAGTATTTTAGCCTTGAAGTGGTCCGTGATGCTATGGACCCTGGGAACATTTCGTCACGCAAATTTTGCATGGCTGTTACGATAATGCACCTCAAGGAAATTTTAGGTAAGGGACTAAAAAATCTGTTCCGCATGAGTGGCCCAGGAACATCTGACACACGTGTGTGTTACAGCGCAATCCAGGGGGGAGGGGGGCTAGAGATGGTGGTGGTGGGGCACACTGACGTTTTTACGCTTGAGGCACAAGGTAAAGTTGACCTGGTTCAACGCTTTAAGTTTTCATAAAGACAGCACAATGCATTAGTAACAGAGGTCTAACTTGTGTACGGTCACGGTTACAAGTGTGGTATTATATAAATCTATATGAACTCTTTACTGACACACGCCTGACTTAATGACTGATCGATCGACAATGATAGATACACTTACCACCCGATTTACTGACTCACTTACTAAGGGGCCGATTCAGTTACTGACTGAGGAATTGACTTACCACCCGACTATTAATCTGACTGACTTACTGAGAGGTTTTGTGGCGCCTTAACCGGCTGACACACTGACTGACACACCAACTGACACACCGACTGACACACCGACTGTCACACTGACTGTCACACTTACTGTCACACTGACTGACACACTGACTGAGACACTGACTAACACACTGACTAACACACTGACTGACACACTGACTGACACACTGACTGACACACTGACTGACACACTTTCCTTCACACTGACTCACCCAACTGACTGACACACACACTGATTGACACACTGACCTACACACTGACTGACACAAATGACTGACACATCGATCGATTAAACTACCGACTTGTCGACTCACAGATCGACTGCGTGAAGTTTGTGAAAAGGTGGTGGACACAATCTGACCTCAGTATAAAAGGCGGTGGACACAATCTGACCTCAGTATAAAAGCCTTCACCTATTTATTCCCACCCTGAATCTTAAAAATTTTTAGAAAAATTTATTTTTGTATACACACATTCAAAAATTGATGGCAAATAAGTCTACTGGAACACTGCGTGTTACGATAACTTTCAGAGAATGTTTGGGTTCTGCTGACAGCGAATCATGTTTTCTTTCGTCCTAATTTTAAAATATTCTAGCTTATTAACAAATTCCGTTACTGAATAATTTGAAGTTTAACGAAACAAAACTTGTCCTAAAATAATATCGCTAGAACTTGATCTCACCGAAAAAAAAAAAAATTATTATACGTAAATAGATCATGTTTTCTTGCGTCGGTATTTTTAAATATGTTACCTTATTAATAAATTTCGTTACTGAATAATTTGAAGTTTAACGAAACAAAACTTGGCCTAAAATAACACCGCTAGAACTTGATCTCACCAAAAGAATGAAACAAAATAAAATAAATAAAAAATTTGATATTATTACGTGTAATTAGATATTGTTTTCTTGAACATTTTGACTAGCATACATGAGGACGCAGCCATAATTTACCCCCATAAGCCTTTGATTGTTCTACCCTACACCTACGTCTCCATACACGCCAAGTCCGTCGCAGCAGGTGTTGTAACTCCGGCACGGTCATCAATCACGCTTGATCGTTTTTCAGTAATCATTATCGATTACCGATGATTAGCACGTTAGATCCAACCCTCTTTGTGCGCTGCCGTTCTTCGGTATTACCATTTCGCACAGCCGGATTAAACCGGAGCACAACAGATTACAATAGTGTTGTTGTGTGGGAGTGTTGAACTACTTATTCAGGGAATTTAATTAATGTAAATCTAGTTTGGGATTTTGTCTGTTTGCTGTAAGCGTTCCTGAAATGTTGAGTTAGAGGATTTTATTTGTTGTGAAAATGTATATTTTAAAAAAAATTATTCCTATTTAGATACAGGTTTGTTGCTTAAGTAAATATTAGCCATGCGCGAGTTAAAAAAAAATAATATTATAAAGAAACAAGTAGATTCTTCAATGCGATAACGTCTCTTATCGTAACTGAATCGTATGTGCAGTGGCCAGTTAATTGTAAAATTACAACCATTTTTCCAAAAAAACTTAAAAAAAAAAAAAGGACAATTCTTCCAATTCCAAGAAGCTATTTTTTTTTTTTTCCACCCCCCCAGTTGAGTTATACAGGGGTACTCCCACCACAAGTAAAGTTACCTTGCTGGTCCCATGACTCAACTCGACCCCTGGATGACCCCGGATGACCCCGGATGAAACCCGAACCCGCTAACTCCTGGTTGCCAGGGAGACAACGTTTGTGTCAAAATTCAGACATTGCTGACCTTAGTTGAACAATTCCCCGGGTTGCCAGGGAGACTACCTTTGTGGCAAGTGTCCGACTTTGTGAAGTGACCCATATTCCCTGGTTGCCAGGGAGACTACCATTGTGGCAAGTGTCCGACTTTGGGAAGTGACACACATCTCCTGGTAGCCAGGGAGACTACCATTGTGGCAAATGTCCGACTTTGGGAAGTGACCCACATCTCCTGGTTGCTAGGAAGACTACCATTGTGGCAAATGTCCGACTTTGTTTAGTGACCCACATCTCCTGGTTGCCAGGGAGACTACCATTGTGGCAAATGTCCGACTTTGTTTAGTGACCCACATCTCCTGGTAGCCAGGGAGACTACCATTGTGGCAAATGTCCGACTTTGGGAAGTGACCCACATCTCCTGGTTGCCAGGAAGACTACTATTGTGGCAAATGTCCGATTTTGTTTAGTGACCCACATCTCCTGGTAGCCAGGGAGACTACCATTGTGGCAAATGTCCGACTTTGTTTAGTGACCCACATCTCCTGTTAGCCAGGGAGACTACCATTGTGGCAAATGTCCGACTTTGTTTAGTGACCCACATCCCCTGGTAGACAGGGAAACTACCATTGTGGCAAATGTCCGACTTTGGGAAGTGACCCACATCTCCTGGTTGCTAGGAAGACTACCATTGTGGCAAATGTCCGACTTTGTTTAGTGACCCACATCTCCTGGTAGCCAGGGAGACTACCATTGTGCAAATGTCCGACTTTGTTTAGTGACCCACATCTCCTGGTTGCCAGGGAGACTACCTTTGTGGCAAGCGTCCGACTTTGTGAAGTGACCCATATCTCCTGGTTGCAAGGGAGACTACCATTGTGGCAAATGCCTGACTTTGTTTAGTGACTCGATGTGTCCTTCTCTGAATCTTTACTATTGAGAGTTTTGCTTAGTTGCAACCCTGCAGTGAAATGCATCTCTTTACATTATCGCCATCACAAGAAGGATTAAAGTACTAGCCATGTGTACTGAATATTGGCTAAGCTTTGTTTTCTTACCTATGCCGGGGTAGGGCCAGTTTTTTTACCTTTTTTTTTCTTTTTTTTCTTAGGAGACTATTCACACGGCCGTGGAAAGTGTGTACAACACTCTGCAGAGGTGGGAGCTGTTGGGGCTTAACGTGGTAGTATACTCCGACTCGAGATCCGCCCTTGAGATCTTGGGTCGGGGAGCGGGTACCTCTCACTTGGTTGGCGCCATCATGGATGACGTGGGCAAGATCGATGGGATAGGAGGAATGGTAACAGTGCTGGCGGTTCAAGGCCACGTTAACGTCAGCGACAATGAAAAAGCGGACACCTTGGCGAAAACCGGGGCTGCCCAGCCTCAGTCAGATGTATCAGAAACTCATCTGGTTGTACAAAACTGGTTGGCGGACCATTTTCGCACAAAATGGTTCAGGGAGTGGGCAGACAACACGACAGCAAGAGGTGTATTCGCTAACTTGCCGTATCCTAGCAGACAAGACACCTGGTGGGGGTTAGGTCGCAGGCAGCGGAGCTAGTGACGCAGATGCGTACCGAGCACTGTCCCATCGGCATATATTGGAACAGGGACCCTACCTGCCGGCATTGCAGCCTGGTCCCAGAAACACTAGCGCATCAGTTGACCGAATGTCCCTCTCTAGACGTTTCGAGGGGAGGCCAGGGTGGTGGGAAAGCCCTACGTAAGGGAAATGTTATATGGCTCAGCTCAGCAGTTGGAATTGATTGCCTAAATGTACAAGCCGGGGTTATAAGAGAGTAATCTTAAACCCTCAACAGAAAATGTGTCTTGATTACAAGGATTAAATTCAGACAAAAATAATATTTCAGAGTTGTGGAGTCGGTTTTTTGGCTCCAACTTTGGAGCTAAGCTCTGTAAAATATGAGGCCAGATTCAGTTGTTGTTTCTTACATAGGATTCGCTATGATTATTTAAAAATTATATTTCTTGTTTTGTAATGTTTAATTGTGAAATAAACAGGAACAGGTTCTGCCACTTTCCATTCTGGAAATTCCCCACTTTGTGCTGCAAATAGAAACAAAGGGGGAAAAAATAGTTGACCCTCTCCTTAGTTTAGAACATTTTCTCTTAGCCTGGAGTGCCTAAAATGCTTGTTCGTTTAAGGCCTTTATAGAAAAAACAACAACTTTGCCTAGCTTTGATATATAAATATGCCACCATATTATATCCTGTTTACGTTATTGCGCCTTCAAAAATGTAAACAACACCAGTATTATTTCATGTGTGAAAAGTGGTGTACCCTAATGGATGCGTCAAATAAACCCAAAAGAAACATAGATTATAATAATGTAATATGCATATTTTTAATAGGAGGTGATGGTCATCCGCACTTTTCACAAAGTTTTTCGCGGCAAGGCAATCATCATAACATGGCTTCGCAATGGTTTTGTTATGCAGATTTAGGAATTGCCTGGAAAAAGAGGGGGAGGGGGGGAGACAGTATGACAAATTCAACCCTTAATTTACGGGGGTATAATTAACGAGCCTGTGTAAATGCACGTGGATACAGAAAGAAGGGTATCCATCACTGGTTCTCTAATATCTAGATCATGACTTTTAAACTGGGGCTCGTGGATTGGATTTTGAGGATCCGTGAGATAAAGTAAATATGAACCGATTTGACTTTCACAAAACTGAAGAAAAAAAACACGCCATTTTTAATTTTTTTTTAAATGATTCCCAACTTATAGCTCAAGCAGAGGCGTAGCGATGGGGGGGGGGCAGGGGGACAGATGTCCCCGGGCGCAAGCTAGTTAGGGGCGCCAAAATGTGCTTTTATATTATATTATTGGTAAAAATAATGGGTTTTAGAGTTGAAAAAAAGAAAAGGGGGCGCTTTAAAATGGATATTGTCCCCGGGCGCCAAACACCCTCGCTACGCCACTGAGCTCAAGTGGTCGATTAGTTTAAAGTAAATAAGTCATGATTTGTAGTTGCATAAAAAACAACGACAAACTGTCTTGTTTCAGACATGCTGATGGTGACCTATGTCTGTTCAACGGCTGTGACATACATACTATTGATTACCTTTTAACGTACTAGTCAACAGTAGCGGACGTAAAATGTAAAAAGTAAATATGAACCGATTTGACTTTCACAAAACTGAAAAAACACGCAATTTTTAAAAAAAAAATTTAAAATGATTCTCAACTTATAGCTCAAGTGGTCGATTAGTTTAAAGTAAATAAGTCATGATTTGTAGTTGCATAAAAAAAACCAACAGAAATGCTGATGGTGACCTATGTCTGTTCAACGGCTGTGACATAAATCAAATAGATTACCTTGAACGTACTAGTCAACAGTAGCGGACGCAAAATGTATCTAGCGTCAGCCAATGTGACGTCTTATCTATCATATAGGTAATACAAATTGCTACGCATAGCTCTACTTCAAACCCATGCGTGCACACCCTCGCAAACAGAAGGTTGGTATAACGTTAGCTAACACTCGTCTCATGGTCCGGTGGCGTTTGCTTGAAATTGGGAAACTCGCGGAGGAGCTGAAAAAATCTATAAATAAAACACATACAAAAAAAAAAAAAAAAATTAAATAAAAAAAAAAAACAGAAGGTTGGTATAACGTTAGCTAACACTCGTCCCATGGGCCGGGGGCGTTTGCTTGAAATTGGGAAACTCGCGGAGGAGATAAAAAAATCAATAAAAAAAACACATACAAAAAAAAAAAAAAAATTAAATAAAAAAAACTTGGAAATGTCTACGTCTTGCCCTTGTTTTACATCATGGAAAAACAACTAAAAGCCCCCAACACTTATAAATTAAAAAGGATTTTAATATTGAAGCGTGTAAAATCCAATCCAGTCCAACAATTTTACGCTGAAACTTCAACAAATTTTTTTACATGTATTTTAAAAATGATTAGTCTTTTACCATAAGGGATCAATCATTGAATTTCTCAAATAAGCTGATCCGAGTAACATCTTTTGATTTATTCCGTAGATCAATGCAAACATAGTTTTGGAGTCTTGTTGCTACAAGGAAAACAATAATAAACACAGGTAAAGGGGCGGTGGTATACATACTATTGTTCGCACATGTTACCCGATATTTTATCTGCATCATTATAAAGTTTAGGTTGGGACCTTCTGGTCGAGGTCAATACATTAATGAAGAACGTTATTTTAAGGAAAATTCAACGTGTTTTTTTTTTTTTAAATACAACAACGCCACACCCCCACTCTGTAGCATAGGTGGAGTGTGTTGTGGCGCCCGGGGTGGTCCTCTTGATTGTCCCACCACATACCTTACACGATACCCATCAGGCATAAGGCTTATAAAGTTTATGCAGTGGACCAAAAAAGTGTCATTTGTGCCCCGCGGGGGGTGGGATTGGGGAGTGAGGATTGCCCTTCCACCACCTTCAATCTCCCTAACCCCCCCCCCACCCCCCTTACAAATCATGATAAGTTTTGCTTTTTAAAGTTTTATACACGTCGAAGATGATGATTTTTTGAATCGTAGGAGAATGACTCTGATGACTAGGATGAGAGTACACAATTTGATGTTCTGGGTTTTGTCACGTCAATAGGATGCACTGTGTGATAGGTCTTTTCAAGGCGCATCGAGATCCATGCAAAAGATTTTTATTGTGTCCCATTGTCTATTTCCCCAGCCACACCATTAACCTGTTCCCAGATTTATTACAGAGGGACACACGCATCTCCCCCTAACAGTATCATTAAAATATGTGACCCAAGCAACCTTGCATGGCTATTATTTTTTTAAAAGGATTATCTTGTGCACCAGATGTCGGAATTTTATATAAAATCCCCCCCCCCATACCATTGAACATGACGAAGCTTTGTCTTTTTTTAAAAGGATTATCTTGTGCCCCAGATGTCGGAATTTTATATAAAATCCCCCCCCCCCCCTCAATGATCTATTGAGTCACATGACAGCAGCTAACATTGTGCATCATATGTCTAACACCTAGAGCAACCACGGCTTACTGACATGGGGCTGAAAACTCTTCTGGATAATGTTGCGATCAAAGTGTTGTTCCCGAACGGGTGATGACGCACCGTGTTCATCCAACGGTTAAATTGTCTCGGGGCCATGAGAAGGAACAGATTACAGTTTTTTTAAACGACCCTTGTTGACTTCGTTACGCGGCTTTGCTTTAAAAGGAAAAAAAAAAAACAAAAAAAAACTTTAAAAATCAAAAAAAGATTTTAACGAAACTGAAAGCGTAAGAAATGTATTCAGATCCGTGGGATGACTAGGAAGGATGAGAAAGACGTAATCCGGAACTCTTTAAGACATTTAAGGGAGAAAACCCTATCAAGATAAATTCAGGTTGTTCAAGTAGAAATTGTAGACTGTTTTTTTTAAAATTTATATAAACAACCCCCCCCCCCCCCCCCACCCCCCCCCCCCAAACACACAGTAAAGAAGATTCTTGTGAGGACTGCAGCTGTTGAATACGCCAGTCAAGGAATGTCACAATAGCTTTGCACTTAATAATAAACCATAACGTGAAGGAATTCAGAATGTCAAGGTCAGTCGTAAGTTACCCCGCCTGTTGTTATTAACCCGCAGACACAGATCGTCAACGTCTTTTTGACGCCATTGTATTAGGATTTAGCTGTTGTTACCCGGATTCGAAAGATGTCCACTGTCTTTCTGCCCGCTGCTGTAAACGTGACCTCATGTCCAAGAATGGCCTCGACGTCAGAAATATAACGGCGTGTTCTGGACACTGCTGTGAAAAGTACACATCTTGCCGAACATCATTGAGGGCATAGAACAATATTTATTCATGAACAGTCTAACAATCGCTTTACCCGTATTTTAGAATCGAGTTACTTTAATTTAGAGGTTTAAAAAAAAGGTAACAATATTATTTTGATAGATAAAAACCAAGAAACGTCTTTTTGGAAACAAAGACTAAAAAAACCACTTTAAAAATAATGATCCAGCGAGTGATAGATAGGCTGCCGAGACCCATTTTTTAAAAAAAATAACTTTTTCTCTTACTGTCTTCTAGGATACTACATTACAAATATGTCTTTAAAATAAATTTATATCGTTTTTATTTTTGTTCGTCCCGCTGAAGAAGGCTTCTTGCCGACACATTCGTTGTTTTGTTGCGCACTCCCCCCTCCCCTTTTTTTTTTCCTTCTTCTTCAGGTTTTCCCATACTTTGTTTCGCGCTTTTCCTTTTTAACAAAATACATTTTATTTTGTTGTCGATTTTGTATTAGATATGTGCGGACATGTCAATACTTGAGTTTAGTGCTATCGAGTCTCCCAGTGGACAAACGCCCCCACCCCCCTCACCCCCCCACACACACACACAATCCGCGTCAGTTCTTCGCACTATGACATGGTGGAAAACCTGTGGAAGAAAGGCAATGCAAAATGGGGGACGCTCCTTTTTCTCTTCTTCTCTACCCTGTGTACATTTCTTATTGCTTCAACATGAACGCGATCCTCCCCTGTCATTACTCTTTCAACTCGAGCCTGACTGCTACTCTTTGTCCTTACTGGTCTCTCAACTTTTTCATGACGTGTGTATCAGCCAAGCTGGTCTGTCTGTGCCACTCTTGTCTGTCTGTGCTACGCTTGTCTGTCGGTGCTGCGCTTGTCTGTCTGTGGTGGTGTGCTTGTCTGTATGTGGTACGCTTGCCTGTCTGTGGTACGCTTGTCTGTCTGTGATACCCATATCTCTTATCTGACTGTGGTACGTGTGTCTGTCGTGTGTCTGGCTGTGTAGTTTTGCTTTCAAAGGTTTCTTAGTCGAAATGTGCGCTTCTTTTTCTTTTTTTAAAAATTCTCCTTCGGGTTTTTCATATCCTATAAATATTTCTTATGGCATGGTGGAAAGTTTGACGAATGGAAGGGTAGCGGGGAAATCCATCTTTAGGCTGCGGTACCGCGCTATATAAAACCACTAATAATAATAAAAATGTACAAAATGTAGTAAATGTACTACATGTCATAAATATACTACATGTCATAAATGTACTAAATGTCATAAATGTACTAAATGTGCTGGGTGCTGGGTGGCCGAGCGGTCTAAACGGTCTCAAACCAAACAGCTGGTGGTCTGGAGTTCAATCCCCACCAAAAGCAAATCATCCCAAGCACCCCGGGTAGATGGGACTCGCTAGCCCTGGACGGCAACCCATCTAAGAGAAGGCAAACTCTGAATTTAAACCAGGAGCCAGAATGATCAACAAATTGATCGTGGGCACCTCAAATATAAGAAGAAGAAGAATAACAATAATAAATCATATATATATATATATTTTAGCTTCTCTCTGTTGACATTTCGTCTGCATTTTGGAACCATCGATTTTGACGTTAATTGAGAGCCAATGAAAACGCTCGGAATTGTTCGCTAAACATGATTAATTCGCTAAACATTAATTCGCTAAACATGTCTAATTCGATAAACATGATTTATTAATCTTAAGGGAGATTAATGTGCTGTTAATTCAACACGCCCCCTCCACTCATTTGGGGGGGGGGGACCCGATTTATTTGCGTCATTAAATAAAGTCCAGTAATCTAATCAGTGTGTTAAAACATATGACGCCCCTGGAGTCAGAGTGAGAGATCATGTCTGCATTGCGCACTTTCGCATTTGCTGGTCCAACTATTTGGAACGCCCTTCCTGTCGATCTCAGAAACAACCAGACACTGGAGTCCTTTAAAACAGATTTCAAGACACATCTATTTCGCAAACACCTTCTGGGATGATTGTCAACCTTATTTTCCAGTTAATGCAAAATGGCTGTGTTGCTTGGGGTTGAAATGGCTAGAAAGACTTTGCCATTGTATGCTAGTAATTAGTTTTTGTAGTGTTGCGTTTGTTTTAAATGTGGTAAATTATAGATTTGTATTTCGTTGACTTTTTACCGCGCTTCGAGCCTTTGGGGATGAAGCGTGTTTTTGAAATGAACTTTATTATTATTATTATTATTATTATTATTATTATTATTATTATTATTATTATTATTATTATTATTTTTAAAAAAAATATCCTTTCTTCCCAGGTGGTGATAGCATCACAGGTCGGACCACAACGAAGTCTGACAGCCACGCCCAATAAATATAACGACAGGACAGCGTTGTTACATTCAGATCACCTTGCGATATCCACGTCAGCCCCCCAGAAATCTGTCAGTTGTAACAGTAGACGAGCCGATACTAGCAGCTCCTCGATGCCATGAAAATACGTTGGACACAGATGAAGACCTACAGAATGCGCGGACTCTGTGTTTTTGATTGTACTTTGGGATCTTCTCTTTTTACTACGCTGGACAGATACGTGATTTCGACAACTGATGTGTTAGCGTAATCATGAATTCTCACGCTCAGGGGCAGATCTTTCGCCCCACGCCATTGCAAGAGGGCAGTGAAAATATCAGACATTAAATTCATAACTGATTATAAATTCGCCATTGTGAATATCCAATGGATATTAATGAAGGTTTATTTAGCAGAATGTTTCACTATATATAATATTCAATAAAAAATTCATTCTACAATATACGTATAACGGAATTGAACGATTTTGGAGAAGTTTAAAATTTTCGTAAAAAATTCAAGCGTCCAGTTTGTGATGGATGGGATAAACATCCTTAAATCAGTGCAACGTCCGACACCCGGACCGTCTGTGCAATGCTCGACACAATAGACACATTCAAGATGTCGACCACTTCAGATGTGTTGAATGGACGAGGCGTTGTTCAAGCTTCAGACAACCTCACCGCGGGTGATGCTGGCAATGCTGCGACCAACAGCACGACAAGTCTGACAGACATGAACGACGCCAAGGCCGAGACCCTCATCTCTGCCATGGTGCTTCTTGGAATCCTGATGATCGTCGGCATCGTGGGGAATTCCCTAGTGGTGTACGTGTTCTGCTTCAAGATGAAGACCGGCACACAGAACATCCTCATCGTCCTCCTGGCCGTGTTCGACCTGCTCAGCTGCTGTCTCTCCATCCCGAATGAGATCGCCGACATGAGGTACTTCTTCATGTTTGGCTCGGAGGAGGCTTGCAAGATCATGAGGTTTGTGATACTCTAGAAAGAGATACTCTACTCAGGATTTACTTCTAGTATGCAAATGATTAAGAAATAAATACTCTACTCGGGGATTACTCCTAGGCAGTGTTTCTTTCAGTAATTTTAGGGGGGTGAGCAGTTGATTTATTGTTTATTGTTGGACATATTGGCTTTCCCCGGGGGTGGGGGGCACTGCCCCGGAGATATAGCTGAAAGAAACCCTGCTCCTGGGCAGCAAACGATAAAGAAATAAATATTCCACTCAATGATTACTCCAAGGCTGCTAGGATGCCTTTTCCATATAAGCTGCAAATGCTAAAGCCACTGCACATGTTTTTGTTCCCCGTGTAAAAAGTAGGAAGTGATTATTTGCTTAGCAAATATTTTTATTAACTTTTCCATGTTCAGTAATAGAAGAGACAATAAATGTATTAAAAGTTTTAAGTTTGTTTTCTTATTTATTTATAATTTTTCAAAACGCTATTATTAAATTATGTATTTTTCCCCTCATCAAATTGGTTTCATTTCATTAAAAAATTCATGTGATTAATTATTAAAATCTGTATTAAGTAATAAAAATACCATTAATTTTTTGTGAACATTTAAATTTCTCTAGATTCATCAACACTTTCTGTGCCATTGGCTCCATCCTTACACTACTCGTCATCGCCGTCGACCGCTTCCGGAAAATCTGCAGACCGTTCAAGTCCCAGATGCGCAACAAGCACGTCAAGCTGTCTCTCATCCCAATCCTGGGCGGGGCCGTCTTCTTTAGCTGGCCGGCCTTCGCCCTGTACGGACTTCGAACGACCGAGACAGACGTCCCGGGGCTGGACGGCTACGACTGCTCCACGCCCAATGGTATCGGCGAAACGATCATCCCGCTGCTGTACAACCTCGTCCTGTTCGCCTGCTTCATCATCATCACCTGCGCCCTCGGCGCCCTGTACTTCTGCATCCTACGGGAAACGAACCGTCACAACCGCTACATGAAGCGGAACTCGGATTTCAACCTGTCGTCTTCCGGGCAGTACAACGATGACTCGGGGTCCAGCGTCGACCTGACGCCGGTGGCGAACCAGCATTCGGCGTCGAGCTCGATCGCTGCGGCGCCGGCTCTGGTCGTGTATAATTCTGCCGTCTTCGACTACAGCTCTGAACTAATCTTTCCCCAACCAACCACAGACGGAGACCAGTCTCCGACCGGGGACTGTTCGAACACAGCAGACATTTCGCGTAAAGCTTCCACCGTGGACTCTGATGTAGAAAAAGTGACTCAGAATGCTGAAACAGCTCCTCATCAAGGGTCTGATATCATTTCAACGGAGGTTTCGAACAGAGTGTCAAATGGAGAAATAACAAGTGGAGAAAAGACAACTCGGGACGTTCCCATAACGGTAACGGTTGGACGCAAACCTTCGATATTAATCACTGGAAAATCCGGGTACGTCCGGAAAGACTTAAAAATCGCCATAGTGGAGCCGATAGAGTCTTTCCGGGTCCCGCCCAGCACCAAACACAAGCGTCATCGCATCAAGAGCAAGACGACCATCATCGCGTTTCTGGTGACCCTCGTATTCGTGCTGAGCTTCCTGCCGCACCTCTCGCTGCAGGTGGCCAAGATGATCAACAAGGGATTCGATTACCATCTCCGGGGTGCGGCGCTGGTTGCGTATAACATTTTCCTGAGATCGTATTTTATCAATTCGGTGTCGAATCCGTTCATCTACGGTGCGCTTAACTTAAAGTTCAAAGGTGAAGTGAAGAAGTTACTGCTAAGAATCTGCCACAAAAAATAAGAGACACTGTTGTTTTTTTTCCAACGTGAACCTAATGGAACTTGGATCTACGTGCAATACATTTTAACATAACACATTCAACAAAGGGCCGAAAGACATACATGTTCTATGATATCTTAAGACATGATATCTATGATATCTTAAGACATTGTCAAATTTAATAAAAAAAAACAATGTGATTTGAATTGTTGTTAAGAAACAGTTGTACAAAAAAAATGATTTTGTTTATTTTCAATATAAAACCCTTATACCAAAGGAATGTGCGTACGCGCGGGGGAGGGGGATAATCATTTTTAAAGGAGGTAAAATGTATTTGATTGTCTTCCTTTAATTATAACTTAGTGTATTATTTATTCATCAGATATTGTATTTTGACATATTGATATTAGCGTAAACGTGTAGCACGCGTGTTTGTTGTTTGACCCAAATGAAAGGGGCATTTTAATTGTTACTGTTTCTTGTGAAACAAAAATATATTAATGCAACAAATATGGTACAATATCAGAATAACTTAAGCGCTTATTATTAAATTGATATTGTCTCGAGTCGCAATCTTGGCTCTATATATAATATTTGTGTGAGCGTGTGCATGTGAGCCACGGGGCGCACTTTCGGGAGATCGCCTCGATGTATATTCGATATATATATATATATATATATATATATATATATATATATGAGGTTAAATATGTTCTAGGCGGAAGTTAGTTTATGTATAATATAGTATAAAGACAGACGAAGCATAGTATTTTAACTTCTTCCAAAAACACATTATATATAATATATGTGTGAGCGTGTGTGTGTGAGCGACGCGGCGCACTTTCTGGAGATAGCCTCGATATATATACTATATATATATATATATATATATATATATATATATATATATGAGGTTAAATATGTTCTAGGCGGAAGTTAGTTTATGTATAATATAGTATAAAGACAGACGAAGCATAGTATTTTACCTTCTTCCAAAAACACATTTCACGGGGAGGAAAGATGATGTGTACGTTTGGATGACTATATCTTTAACTCCGAAAATATTACAAATAATTTTAAGATTTTCTGTGCAAATAATTAAATACATGTTATGCCAATATTGGAAAATACAATTCAAGGGCGTTGACACATTGTGGGCTCATTGACATAAATCTACCCATACCCTAAAACTCAATCAAAGTTGGAAAGGGGGAAATAGTGAGTAGGATTTTCTGGGAAGCTGAGCACATTCGGATATTCCCATTTTCTAAAGATACCATCCAGGAGCAAGTCAAATGTTAATTTAATGTTAGTCAAACGCTAGTCAAATTTAATGTTAGTTCAACGTTTAATGAAGATACCATAATATCAAAATCCGTTAACTTTGCACATATTTAAAGTGGTAAACATATTTTATTTATTTTTAAACTTAAGGACATTGTTAAATTATTATTCTTGTTTTTATTTTATTTATTTTTTACAATTTTTAGAAAATGTTTCCTTTGCGGTTCGGGGACGTGAACAATTTTTCTGGCAAGCGTATATTAATTAAAAGATAAACATATATCAAAACGATTTTATAAACGTAAACATATATACAAAGGCGCTTTTTATTATTTTAAATTTGTTTGTTGTTAAGTCTGATTACTATTTCCTTAATAAGCTTGGAAAATTGTGGATTTAAAACAAAAAATAGTATTATTACATCAAAACCCGATTAATTAATGTAAAGAAAAAAAAAGTTAAAAAACAATGTTGAGGATTCGCAATAGCAGCTAGAAAGTAGGGCAACATGCCAAACATCATCATCCCCGCGTAACACCGGGTCGTATTGCTAGTTTTCAATAAAGGCGTCGAAAGCTTCTCGCCAATCCTCGCAGTGCATAAAGTTATTGCTATGTTTTATGACTGCTTGTACAAACTAAATACTTCTTGGAAATCACAGGCCTTGAGACTAATCATAGGAACTTTATTTTCTGAGAGATTTTTTCATTATTAATTTAAAATTTAAATTAAAAAAAAAGGAAGCCAGACCCTTCGTTTTAAATTTTAAAATAAAAATAAAACATGCACCAGATCAAAATTTTTTAATCCCTAAATATATATCTTTCTTTCTATATATAAATACTCAATTTTTATTTTATTTACATTGATTTTTACTTGCCCAATGTGTCATCTCCACTTTATACCAAGGATTATTTTATATGTATATCTATCGAAGATTGATTTTTTTTTTTTTTTTGGGGGGGGGGGGGG